ATGGGTGGCATGGTACACCCAGAGCAAATTCATTAAAAGGGGCCATGAGGAATAGAAGCCCTGCTCAGAGTGGGCTCCCTGGCAAGTGTCTGTCCATAAGACATCCAGTGGCCCCTGGCCATCAAGGCTGCGGGAAGGAAATCTGCCCTCACCCCTGCTTCTTTCCCGGGTGGGGTAATGGGGTTACTTTAGCTCAGTGGAAGCGGTGCAGCCAACTCAGCCACAGGGAGAGGCGTTGGAACCGCCCATTTGACGAAAGTGCCAACAGGTCTCTTTCCTGAAAGATGCAGTTAGCTTCCCCTTCGCTCCTGTCAGCAGCTCTGTGAGGGGAGATGTTTCACTGCCCGTGACTGCCCTCACCCTGGGGAAGAATGTAGTCGCCTGAAGAGAGAAAGACTCCCTAGGGATATGCGGGAGTTCGAACACCGAAATCAACCCACAACCCACAACATAGCGGTGGCAGGAGGCCCTCTGTCTTGCCACCTCTATGTGGTGGTTTATCACTAGCATCCTTGGCCTTTGTTCCTGCCTGGAGCATGTTTGAGACACAAGAGACACAGGACCATATGGCCACAGACTAGTTAGAAATTTTTCCAGGGGCTGGAGCCATAGTACCCTGGGCAAGGTGCTATGGAATGTGGCCCAGAAACCAAGAGAGAGAAAAAGAGAAAGAGAAAGAAAGAGAGAGAAGCCAATTTACCAGAGAACAATGTGGCACATTCAGCCACATTCCATCCCTGGCATCCCATGTGGTCCTCCAAGCCCTCCAGGAGTGATTCCTGAGTGCAGACCCAGGACGGAGGTGGGTGGTCCAAAAACAAACAAAGAAACAACAACAACAACAAAAGGATAGAAACTTAGTCATACTAAGTCCTACTTAGCAACAGCAAATTCCTCTCCAGCTAAACCAACTCTCTCACTCACCACACACTGTAGCAGTGCACTGTAGCACTGTCCTCCCATTGTTCATCGATTTGCTCCAGTGGGCACCAGTAATATCTCACAACAAATTGTGAGACTTCTTGTTACTGTCTAATCAAGTTGTTCCTTGGCCTTGGACAGACATGGCAGTATTGTCCAATGAAAGCAAGAGCATGTACAAAAAGAATAAAAACTAAATTTGCCTCCAGAGTCCCCACACGTTCCCCATGAAACAAATTGAAAGGCTTGGATGCTCAAGGATTCATTTGACAACAGTTTGGCAGATCTTACAAGTTCAAGGAGAACCAATTAGTCATGGCAGCCCCCAAAAGGACATTTAGTCATTGGCAAATTATTTATATTATGATGCATAAAATGGCTATATTAAACTTTCAAATCTGAATACAAATGAAGGATTCAGAAATATGCCAAGAGGAGCGGGACCAAGCTTTAAAGTTATGTGCGTCAGACCAAAAAGGAGTCCCTGAAACCTGCAATTTCCCAGTCGGAACCCTTCTTGGGAGTCAGAGGGGCACACAATGGCTCCAGGTCTGGCCTGGAGCTGACTGTTCACGGCTGGACCATCCCACTTCAGCATCACAGCGCTGAACTGCCCCATGGTACAGTTTCACAGAGCCACAGAGTCACATGATTCCCACCACCAATCTCTAAGAAAGGGCAGAAACTACTAGAGGCTTCTCTGTCAACAACTTAAAAGGGGTCGGGAGGTACTGTAGTGTGTAGGGTACAAGCTTTGACCCCTAAGAGCTCTGGGAGTGGCCCCTGGGTCCCTTGAGGGCTGCTTAAGAAGCTCCTCCCTCAATTCCTTTATTCCATGATGTAATTAAATAGACATTGGGGGGCTGGAGCGATAGCACAGCGGGTAGGACATTTGCCTTGCATGCAGCCGACCTGGGTTCGATTCCCAGCATCCCTTATGGTCCCCCGAGCACTGCCAGGAGTAATTCCTGAGTGCATGAGGCAGGAGTAATCCCTGTGCAACGCCACGTGTGACCCAAAACACACACAAAAAAAAATAGACATTGATACAAAAGCAAGTGTAGGAGGCCAGGAGGTAGAGTTCAAGGGTCAAGGTGCATGCAAGGCATGGCTAACTCTGGCTTGATCACTGGCGCCATATGGTTCCCCCAAGCACTGCCAGGTGCTACCCTGGACACCGCTTAGCACTGGCCTGGGAAATCTCTAGCACCGCTGGGTACCCTTAGACCCTGGCACTGAGCCTCCAGCCTGGGTGGTCAAGAATTGGGGTGGACCAAAAGGAGAGAGAGAACACAAGGGATTGCCCTGCCACAGAGGCAGGGTGGGATGGGAGGGATGGGGGTGGGAGGGATATTATCCATGGTGGTGGAAAATGGGCACTGGTGGAGGGATGGGTAGTTGATCATTGTATAATCGAAACCCAAGCACAAAAATTTGTAAATCCAAAACTGTACCTCATGGTGTTTCACTAATAATAAAAAACAAACAAACAAACAAAAGTTTAGAAACAATAATAAAAAAAAAGAATTGGGGTGGACAACCTTGCCTGAGCACCACTTGAGAAGCTCCTTCCACACTCAAGAAGCAAGCGCTGGCGCCAAGGAAGGCACACAGGGGTCAGGGGCACTGGCCTGGCCTGCACAAGACCCCAGCTCTGATCCCTGGCATCGTGATGATGCTGAGCACTGCAGGGCGGAGCCCTCAAGGCAGCCAGCACTGCCCCAGCTAACACTGGGATCCCCCAATACTGCTAGGCCTGAGTTAAGTGTCTGGTCCAGTTGACTAAGCATCCCTGGAAGCGACCTTCAGGTCCTCCTCTGAGCACTGTTTGGGAACCACCATCCGCACAAAAGCAAGTGCATCTGTTACATGGAGACAGTCCCTACACCAGCTTATCCCTCTGAGTGAAATTGGAAGTCAAAGAAGTTGAAGAGGCCACTCTTTCCACTGGAAGGATCAAAGGCGTGAGCCACACAACACCTCTGACAAGCCACGTGGCCTGGACAGCAGCCTTGGGTGCCATTCTTAGGAAAGACACCACACACAAAAATCTCACTTTTTAAATCTCTCGCACAATTACCTTGTTTGTATCGAGACGAGAGAAGGCTCTTTGTTTGTTTGTCTCTCTCTCTCCCCTCCCTCCCTCACCCCTTTGGCTGCCGAAAAAGCTTAAACAGAAAAGGAAGGGAGGAGGCTGGGAGAGGCTTGGATGCTCAAGAGCCTTTCATAGAAGCGTGAAGCTACAAATTCCATCCTGGGGCCTCCTTCAGACTAGCGCGTGTCCCATCAAGGACATGTGCAGGTACTGAAACTGGAGAAGGAGGAAGAGGAACCTGGGAACACCTTGGCCCGAGGTGCAGCTCCATTACTTGAGTAACACAAACAAGGGTGAGGGGTATGAGCCCTGGTCAGTGCAGCATACAGGGTAGGGGGCTGTGGGGACAGCGAGAGGGGAGGAAGGCAAAGGTTTTCCTTCCTTTCTGACTCAGCGTTGAGAGGTGTCTATGAGCACATCATTTCTCTCACCAGCCTTCCTTCCAGATACTTAGCCGGTTCATGGGCTTTCCCCACATGGATCTGAAAAACCCAGCGCCAAACACAGAATGCATGGAAGTAACATTTAAAAGGTGTCTCCGCACCCCCGCCCCAAGATTCTCTAAATGTTAGTTCTATGACACACTTTAAGGATATGGTGGTGGGGCTGGAGCAATAGCACATTGGGTAGGGCGTTTGCTTTACACGCGGCCAACCCGGGTTCGATTCCCAGCATCCCATATGGTCCCCCAGGCACCGCGAGGGGTAATTCCTGAGTTTAGAGCCAGGAATAACTCCTGTGCATTGCTGGGTGTGACACAAAAAGGAAAAAAAAAGGATATGGTGGTGCTCGCTTCCATACTGGAACGGGTGGGTACCTTCCACCAAAGGAACACTTACACGTGAATGAAATAATCTCAAGTCTAAGGTCCTGTCTGATTCTCTCATAGTGTCTCCTCTTCCCTCTCTGAACGGTTTTGGGAGCCTAGTAAATTCTGAAGCAGGAGTTCAGCAGGAAGAGTGGAGTCACGGAACCGTACTTGCCCTCTGGAGTGCTGACTCATGTTTCACGCTAGCAAAAGGTGCCAGCTTTCACTCACTTGATTCCTGGGCTAAGCCCAGGAAACACCTGCATAAGCTACAGACCTTTGGTAGATGCCATTTCACTCCTCAGAGATTTGGGAGAAGAAAAGGTAGGAATTAGATCCTCTGCAATCAGACCAATGGAGACCAAGGGGCCCTGTTGTCAGGGACCTCCCCTCACTTGGTTAAGACTTGACATGTTTGCTCCCTGCCCATCAGCACTCTGCCAGCCTTTCACAGCATTCTGCGGCTGTAGAGATTTCAAATGCACGACCACACCCTCAGTACCCTTCTGCACCCAGCCCCTCCACACCTGCGATCTGAAATAGGGCGAGGCACAGGGTGCAGGTAAGAGTTGGGGAAGGATGCCCAGATAGCTCTGAGCAAGTGACCTCACCCGGGAAATCTTAAGTTTAATGTGGTGGTAGTGGTGGGGGGGGGGGGGGCGGGGAAGCATGCTCAGTACTTCTTAGAAAAATTGTGGGGAAACCAACAAAGTGACTGCAACAATGCACCAGTTCTCCATCAGCCTACTCTGGGCACTAGAGTTCCGCAGCCATGTGGTGGCTGAAGACTGCGCAGGCGGCACCGAATCCAGCCTGCTGGGCCTTGGGAGCCTCTCCTGGTGAGCCAGGACCCCAAGGTGCTGGCCCAGGAGCCTGTCCTGGTGAGCCGGGACCCCAGAGTGCTGACACTTACCCTTTCCTGGTAAGCCGGGACCCTAGGGTGCTGGCCCTTGGGACCCTGTCCTGGTGAGCCAGGACCCCAGGGTGCTGGCACTTGGGAGCCTGTCCTGGTGAGTCGGAACCCCAGGGTGCTGGCTCTTGGGCGACTCTCCTGGTGATCGGGGACCCCAGGATTTCAATCTCGTTGGGGGAAGCACATGGACATGGGGGGGCAGAGGAGCAGGCTTGCGGGCACACTTTGGTAAGGTGGGGGGGATGTGTGCTGCGGTCACTCACGCGGGGGTGACGCCCTTGGGCAGGCCCAGGGCGTTGACGGCCACTGGCGGGGCCTGCGAGGGCAGCAGCGCGCTGAGAAAGGCGGCGGGCGTCTGGCCGGGCCCGAAGCGGGCGGGGGTGGTCGAGGCGCAGTGGGCGCCTGGGAGCGGCGGCGGCGGCGGCGGTGGCAGCGGGAAGACGTCGGGCACCGAGAAGGCGGCACCGGGGCTGAAGACCGGGGGCGGCGGCGGCGGGGGCGACGGCGAGGACGGGCCCCAGGGCGTGTCGGGCTCGGGCGTGAAGGGGGGCGCGTTGGCGCGGCCGAAGGGCTTGGGCGTCGGGGACAGCGGCGAGGGCAGGCTGGACGAGCTGGGGCTGGACGCGGGCGTGCCGTGCGCCGACGCGGGCCCCAGGTTCTGCGCCGCGATGAACTGCTTGGGGCGCGCGTAGTTGAAGGAGCCGGAGGGCTGCATGGAGGCGGCGGCCGCGCGGGACGCCAGCGCGCTCATGGGCTCCGGGCAGGTGGCGAGCTCGAGCTCGGGGAAGGCGGGCGGCGGCGGCGGGAAGGGCGGCGAGGGCGGCGCACTGCGCGCGGCCTCCTGCTCCAGGCGGATCTGGTTCTGCAGCTGCTGCAGCTGCGCGGGGTCCCTGCGGAGAGAGGACAGCGACAGGGCGGTGAGCAGGGATGCCCCGTGGGGAGCGTGCACAGCGCAGGAGCCGGAAGGGTGTGCGGGGGCTCGCGTGAGGACCCGGGAGCAGAGCTTGTGGCTCGACCTGGGAGTTCCCGGGGCGCAGCTGAGCTCAGGAGCTTGACTACCAAGTCACCAGGCCCAGCGTGCCCTTGGAAGCCTGTCCTGGGGGGGAGCCGGGACCCCAAGGTTCCAGCCCTTGGGAGCCTCGCCTGGTGAGCCGGGATCCCAGGGTGCTGGCCCTTGGGAGCGTGTCCTGGTGAGCCGGGACCCCAGGGTGCTGGCCCTTGGGAGCGTGTCCTGGTGACCCGGGACCCCAGGGTGCTGGCCCTTGGGAGCGTGTCCTGGTGACCCGGGACCCCAGCGTGCTGGCCCTTGGGAGCCTGTCCTGGTGACCCGGCCCCCGAGGGTGCTGGCCCTTGGGAGCCTGTCCTGGTGAGCCCAGGAGTCTGGGGTGTGGCCCAGAAGACTCGACCCACTGCGTCCCCCACCCCAGGGTGCTCACCCGTGTGCCCAACTTCCTACACCTGTGGCTGTGGCCTAAATGGGGAGCCGAGGAGTCCCCATCTCCCTGACTCTGCGCTAAGCTGCTTGACTAAGAAGGCCACGTCATCTCAGCGCCTAATTTAAGGTTTTTTTTTTTGCCTAAGAGGACCCAAAGCCATCAGCCGTGATGGGATTTTTGTCCGACTTCCAGGAGCCATATTTCATTTTAACAGAACCAGAAAAAATTAAGAGGAAAACTTATGACAGGAGTTTCTTGGCCCCCTTTCATTTGTAGCCAATGTTGGGGGGCGAGGGAGGGGGGTAACTAGAGTTCTATCAGAATGAGTAAGTTATAAAGAAAAACATACTTGATTCAAGTTATTTTTGGCAGATTTAGGTTAGTCCAATTTGCCTACTTTGGGGCTGTCAACTCTGCATTCAAGAAATACCACAGCTTGATTTGGGATTGGAGGGGAGACTTTCTGCATTTGTTCCCCAAGAACATGCACATTAACTACATGCAAAATTTTAGTAGCAAACCCCAGCCTGGCAATTATTTACAGAAATCTTTTATACAAACATTATTTATATGAACATTTTACTTTATAATGCACACTGATAGACTTCGAGCCATACCAAAGCACATGCAAAGGACACAGCTATTCAAGGGGTGGAACCAAATGACCACATTTGTAATAATGCAGTTTTAATTCCCAGAGTATTTTCTTCCTTTTTAATTTAGTCTTTATTTTTAAACTGAATCACAATGAGATACACAGTTACAAAGTTGTTCAAGACTGGGCTTCAATCATATACTGTTCCAACACCCATCCTCTTACGAGTGTACATTTCTCACCACCAAGGTCCGGAGTTTCCCTCCCCCCCCATAACAGGCTCTCTCTCTCTCTCTCTCTCTCTCTCTCTCTCTCTCTCTCTCTCTCTCTCTCTCTCTCTCTCCTCTCCCCCCCAGGGCATTATTGTTCACAATAGATACTGAAAGGTTATCATGTGTATCCCTTTACCTATTTTCCCAGAGTATTTTCTATTGAGAAAAGACAGTTTGAATGTTTATGTACGAAACAGAAGTTAGTTAGCAACCAGCACTGAGCTAAATTCTTCCTGTTTCCTGAAAAGTTTTCCTGTTTAGCTGAGCTTTATTTCTATTCCACGCCTCCCACCCGGCCCCCCATCATTCACTTCAAGACAGTGACCAGCAGCAGTCAAAGAAAACTTCCAACAGCAGGTGGCGCCCTAGCAAGCAGCTAAAACAATTCTGTGACTAAGCAATGAACGCTCTTAATTTTAAACCTGAACCATAACAACAAAAAACCCCAAACGCCTTTTTATCCACAGGCATCAAATCTTCAAAAATCAAGCTTTCAGGAAAGATTCAAAGCAGTGGGAATTGAAACTGCTAAATGAAAAAGAAAGGATTATAAAGAAAGTTTTAGATCTATTGTGAAGTATCCTGAGTGGTGGGAAGATTGGCAAGAAACCTAACTATCCCCCCCTGTCTTCTCCTCTCTTCCACAATTTATGTGATTCGAGTTAGCTTCATGGAAAGATAGAGGGAGAAACACTTTGCCAGGGGATGGAGGGTGTGTGCTGAAAAGTGTCAAGACGAACTGGCTGTAGATGTTTAGTCTGCAAGGACCTTCAAAAGAGTCCAAGAAGAAAGAAGTTTGTGGAGTCCTAGGGTCCTTAATTTTAGACTTCTAAAAGAATCCATGCCACTTCTGGGGTTCCCCATCTGCTGAAGGTCCAGATGTCCGTGTGGTTTGGGGAGATTGTCCAGCACACGTGTTCCTGCCTCTACTGGACTCAGAACTCTTACAACTCACCCAGCTGCAGAGAAACTGCTCATCCATCCCTTTAATTCCCAGCCCCACGGGCTCCTTCATCCCCTCCCTGCCTTCCTATTCCACAGTGCCTCATCAGGGTCTTCTGTATCGACCCCGGCAGCGAGGCAACCGTAGTCACGTGACCCATGCTCCCAAGATGGGGGTCATCCCTGTGATCCTCCTCCATGACTGTGTTCCCCAGTTCTGCCAGCAAAAGTGTGGGCTGGCACCAGCACACAGTTGTGTAAAGTGACTCTGGTGAGGCTACCACAGACATCAGCACATCATGGCCTCTATCTGGCAGGAGGGCTCCAATGCTCAGCATGGGACTCTGAGGAGTGACTCTGGAAAAGTTCAGCTTCAAAGAACCCGTAGCAGGCCAGGCTGCTCACCACTGGTCTCCATCTGGGCATTAAGAAGAGCCACCCAGAACCAGTGCGGCAGGAAGCAGTTGACCCAGATTAGTCGGTGGCACCCCTATGGTCCTCCCTAGCACCACCAGTCACGGTCCCTATCTGCAGGGTCAGGAGTAAACCCTAAGCACAGCTGCGTGTGACCCATACACAAAAACAATGAAAAAGGAAGAGCCAGCCAGGGCTGGTGAGAGAGTACAGCGGGCAGGGCACTTGTCTTTTGCAGGGTTGACCCTGGTTCAGTCCCCCATACCACAGACGGTTCCTGAGCAGACTTGATCCCTGAGTGCACAGTAAAGGCTTGACTTCTGTGCAAATGGTCCTTCAAACAAACAAACAAACAAAAACAAAATATGAAAGCCCTCTTCTGTTAGATGGATCTGACAACTGGATTCTCTGATGATGAAACACAATTTTAAGTCATTTTCTCAGTTCCTATTATTTCTAGAAATGATTATATTCATAGCAAGAATGACAGATTCCTGAAAAGTGAGATGGTTCTGACCTTTGGAAATTAATAAGATATTTGCTATAAAAATCTATTACTTTTATTGTTTCTTGTACCTTTTTTTCCCCTTTAAAAATGAAATAGAAGGAGGAGCTGGAGAGATAGTAAAGTGGGAGGGCTCTTACCTTGCACACTGTGGACTTGGGTTAGATCCTCCCCATCCCATATGGTCCCCCGAGCACTGCCAGGAGTAATTCCTGAGTGCAGAGCCAGGAGTAACCCCTGAGCATCACTGGGTGCCCAACCACCCCCCCCAAAAAACAAACAAAAATGAAAGAGATAGATATAAAAGAAAACCAATCCAAATCTTTTGGAATTTTTCTTGTTCTCTATTTGTTGTTTGATGATGCTCAGAATTCACTCCTAGCACTGAGGGGATCACATGGGGACCAGATAACCCAGGTAGACCGCGTGCAAGGAAAGTGCCCTACCCACTGTGCTATCTCTCTAGCCTCCTGATTCTCTTGGAAATAACTGTGGAGGTCACAGGTCATGCGTTTTAGTTAGCCCGAGTTGCAAGCAAGTACCCCTCTGAACATCCAGACTGAAGCCTTCAGTTTTGTACAAGCCCTCTGTCCACTCTTCATGACTCCATTTTCCTCTTTCCCCCTTCTCACATCCCCAAATCAAAATGCCTAAGAAATTCCAGGCTCTGACCCTCCTTCCAGTCCAAAGGTTTCTCTAGCCGGTTGTGTTATCTGCTTGTCAGTTCCCAGCAGAGCCTGCTCAGGGCTGTGTCTGTGACTAGCTCTGCTGATGTGATTAAAGAAGCAAGTCGAGTCCCCTTTCCCTCCTGACAAGGTTCCCTCCCGCCTCGCCGACGCCACAGCCTCCAAGGCCCTTGGGATTCCCATCACTGCTCAAGGCTTTAAAGACTTGTGAACAAGAAAATATGACTTCAAACTTTGATTCTTTTTTCAGTAGAAGCAGAGCAAAGATGAGATGGTCCTGACTCTAGGGAAGAGAGGCTAGAAACATTTCCCAGTGGCTTCCTCTTTCTCAAAATCACACACAGAACATTGAAAGTCCTCCCTGACTGCTTGGGACAGAGCTTTTAACACCAACAGTCTTTTTTTTTTCCTTTTGGCTTTTTGGGTCACACTTGGCAATGCTCAGGGGTTACTCCTGGCTTTGCACTCAGGAATTACTCCTGATGGTGCTCAGGGGACCATATGGGGTGCTGGGAATCGAACCCGGGTCGGCCGCGTGCAAGGCAAAAGCCCTCCCCGCTGTGCTGTTGCTCCAGCCCAACACCAACAGTCTTGCTAGTAGCTTGAGTTCTGACTTAATAGGAATGAAGACACCTACAGAATGTTTTACTTTCTTAATTCTTCCATTTGAGTAAAACAACCTTGGCAAAGAATCCAGCCAAATGGCAGCATGGGATAGGGGGAAAAAAGCAAGGTTTGCAGGGCCCCTACCGGCTTGAACCCCAATTCACTCATCATCTAACTAGGGAGCATTTAACGAGCCCCCTGCTTGATTCCTAGTGCAAGCTGGAGAAACATCTCACAGCAGAAGAGAACCACAATTCAGAAGGTACCTTTAAAAATGCAGAGAAAGGGTTGCAGTGATAGTACAGTGGGTAGGGAGGGTTTTTGCCTTTGGCACAGCTGACCCAGGTTTGATTCCCAGCATTCCATCTGGGCCCTCTGGGCACAGAGCCAGAAGGAAGCTCTGAGCACCACTGAGTATGTGCAAAACCCAAACC